TCTCGATAATATTATTGGTCAATACCAAAGATTAGTAGAAAATTGATTTTAATTAACAATAACTATACTTGATATTATATTTATTGTTAGTCTTGTAAGCCTGTTTATACATGCTTCAAGGATATACGGTATGGAAACAACCAATAGAACATCGAAGTACTTAAAGTTTTCTCTTGGCAAAGGTATTTGGATGAAATAAATAGCCAACACATATAACAAGATATATATATATATATATATATATATATATATATATATATATATATATATATCGGGTAGATAATTTCTTTGATAGAAGATCAAATACTAGATACCGTATTTAGTTAGAGATAATCTAGTTACTTGAAAAAATAAGAAGCAAAATGTAGTTGTTCAATCAAGTGTCGAGCTATAGCACAATGGAAGCAATCACTAGTGATTTGTTTTGGTTAAGATCTCTTAATTTATGAGATTTCAAACACGTTTTTTCCAATAAATATGTATTGTGATAATCACGTTGCTACTCACATCGTCTTTAATCCCCTCTTCTACAAAAAGACTAAACACATCGAAATTGATTTTCATTTTATATGAGAAAAAGTTCGGACTAAAATTGTTAGCACACCTTATGTTCGAAGTGAAGATTAATTGGCAAACATTTTCACTAAAGTTGTTATTGTATCTCACTTCAAAGACATTTTATGGACATTTACAATCTAATTTGAGGGGAGAGTGTCTAAAGCTAGGAGTGATTCTAATTATCTTTTTACATGAAAATAGTCATTTCATTTTCTACTATATGTAAGTGTTCATTGTTAGTTACAATTAATGTGATTTATTGTAATAAAAGTTTTCTTCCTAAAATAATTTATATAAGATGCATACACACTCAATCTTCTTGAAGTTTTATCATGGAAAAAATGAATGAAAAAAAAAACACTTATGAAGTTGGCATATTGCTACCCACGTTTTCTATTTTTACTGTGCGAAATGTTTTTATCCGTTCATTAATTTCAACTAGTTAATAAAATCTCGCATCAGATTATAAATAATCAAAAAGGAATGTTATATCCAAGTAAGAAGATATGTTGTTATTATACTCAATTTTGTGATAATCTTCTCGTATTTGTGATTTTGCGATATCTTTTTTTTAAAAAAAAAATAAATAAAGAAATAAAGAGAACTAGGAGGAGATGCTTATTCTTATATTGGTCAAATTCCCAATGTACTAAACCAATGAGCTTGTAGTATTGTTACAAAAACTAAGAGATTGGGTCTCGAATTCGAATTACATCCTTGTCCATCCATCACTAATATGTATATCCTTAACCTATTCGAACAACTGGAAAAGGCCCTTTAATGCTCAGCTTCACAACACTAGTATAGACCCTATCCCTCTCACGAAATCTTGGTAATCTAACCCATGATTTACGAGGAGTAGCTTATTATTGTGTTTGACTGACATTATGATTTCAACCTTATTAGGGCGTCTTCATTTTAGTGCCAACAAATAATTAACTTTCTTTTTTGCCTCCATTAACATTTGGCCAGCAGTTAGCGTTCTGGTCTGCGGTTGTCATAGCGAAAGACATGGAGCGTTTCTTTGGTTGCATAACCGGGAGGCTGCAATAATGTGAGGGCAATACAATAGTATTACAACACAATCTAACAAGTGCAGAAATAGCGAAGATTTGGGATTATTTCTTTTTGTCCTAAAATAACTACAAGAGACTGTATTTATGCAATAATGCAAATGTGCATGAAATCTATAACATTAATGTGTGATGGTGATATGGAAGGGTAGTCCGTAAGATTAGCATTTGTGTTACACTTTTGTTGGACAGAGAAAAGCTCATATGGCAGCAACTGATCAATTCCAATATTGTCAGCTTTCGCATCCAATAAAGGAGTGAGATTCCCTACAAGCTTTTTTCAAGAAAAATCAAAGACTTGAATTCTATAGCGACAAATCCCATTTCCTTTTCCTTTCGGACAAATGCTACACAGAATGGTTTGCATTTAAGGTTTTTTTTTTTTTTGTCTTAAAAAAAAAAAAGTGAACGGTTGAGGTTTGCATTTTTTCTTACACATAAACGTAAGTAGAATACACAGATATTGCAGCCATGATTTAATTAAGTTTATTGATTATGAAATATAGGTATGAATCCAACTATATATATATTGGATGCCAGTTTTCGCAGAGAAACTATGCAATTATTATTACCGAGGAGTCGTCGAAGATCAGCATATACTGTGTAGTTATGTGTGTTTGCAGAAGTCAATGGATGTTATCAATAAGGACTAATGGCCAGATCATGAGTATCCCATATATCTTCTTGTAAAGTGTAAGCATTCTTGTAGAAGGGCATCTAACAAAGACTACTATCATAACACTTCATGTTAAAGACCCTTTGACTTAACCCTGCTACCTTTTCTTATAAAGTCAATATTATTTGTATCATCTGCTTTATCTGGCATTACAATTTAATTAAACTTACCTTTTCATGGAATGTAGATCCTGCAACTGGATGATCACGACTTTTGTTGTGTAGATATACCACTTGATGCACGTAAAAATGAGAATTTATTGCATAGTAGAATATTCGTTTCAAACTTTATAAGTTCGTAAGAGTTCAAGAATTATTGTAAAGCCTATACACATGGGCCATCACCAACCACATCAAGTTTACAAGGAAAATCGGATCAATGATTTACCATCTGTGCATGACAGGAAAAACATGCAGGCAAAAGAGCTGCCTAGCTAGCTAGGGCTATTTTTAAAATCACAACTTAAACTAATTTATATCCTCAATAAATTTCATGTTCATACCTAAAATGGAATTTCAAAGCATCGCAGTCATTAGTTCGTAAACAAGAACTTTATTTTCATTAAAAAAAAAAAGGCGATATTCCAAAATTTTCCGTAAGAACATATATATATATATGAACTAAACTTAGTATAACTTATGGATGAGACCATATTATTTATGACGTTATATCAAGTAAGGACCACCGGTTTGACAACTCTAATCGTCCAATTAGGTCTCTAGACTTGGTGAAAGACCATTTTATTTGTTCGCCAAGATTAATTATTAATATTGTTAATCCTTAACTAGCTAGGGTTGAAAAGTTAATTGAATTGCCTTCGTTATCATTGCAAGTCAAAACTTACCAAATGGGGAGATACAATTACATGCATACTGTTAGAAGAAAGAGACCGAGTCATGTTTCTAGCTACTAGGGCATAGAATGTTTTTCTTTGGAGAATAAAGCTTGGACACATTCAATAACACCAAAACAAGATGTTTAAGCACAATTGTTTATTTAATCATCATATGTAGGACCAATTACTTGATTTAAATCTTCACTATTCAACAGTTAATTCATACTCTTGAGGCAGGCTTTGTTCTTTTATGAACCAAAAAGATATTGAAGACAATGAACAATCTAAGTCTTGCTCTTCTTTTCATTTTAAAAAGGAACCGAAAAATGCATACGCTAAACTTTTTAATGCAGTTGACTTCGTTCTCAACGACCATGATTAAGCGTGTGTTCTCTTCAGGAGACAGAATCATAGGCTTTGTTTGCTAAAATTGAAGGGTTTGTGATACTGAGAAAATGGGGCAACTTTGCGTCTGCAATCAGTTGTGGGTACCCTTTTTTTTTCAGTATGGGCTTTGTTATTAAGCTCCACAATGTTATTTAGAAATCAAATCTAATTAGATTGAAAGAAAAAAATTCATGGATGCATCAGAATTTAAATAATTTGTTTACGATTCGACACCAAAATAACATAGTTTTGATACATGAAAACATTTAGAAAATAATATAAAATTATTCTTAAAATCTCATATAACAAGTTAAATTTTTAAATTGAAATGATTTACCGGTAAAAACCAAATTAAAATTAGAATAATTCTTTTTTTAAAAAAAAACTATCTTGTTAGTATGTGTGACACAGCTGCCCACTAGCGGGAGGTGGCTTTTAAAACCAGACCTTATAAGTGTAATGTTAACTAAGTAATGAACAACAAAATGATCATGTTAAAGGAAAACCCTGTTAACTTGGATTATTACCAATCATGTTTTGAAATAATTAAGTATGGCTTGTTTTTTAGCAATTAATGAGAAAACCAATAATAGTAGCGGTCCATAACTAGGCGATCCAACTGGACTAGGGTTTTCAGATGGAGGGTTGTGATTAGGTGATAAGATAGTGGAATGTGCATGCCATATCTGTAATGGGACAACCAAGATGCATGGAAAATCCAAAATAGGCAAGACTACAAAATTCAAAATTGTAAAGATGAGATTTAGGTTGGTGTATTACTGGCTAAGTCAAGATTCTCAGACGAGTAAGAAATATTTGAAATCAGAAATGGATATATGGGGACCCATATGTTATGCAGTCGCACCCCAACATTCCTTTCATTTCTATTATGAGGAATAATGCTTGTTTCCTATGCTTTTTAGAGCCTGGACCTTGGATACCCTACCATATAAGAGAGAGAGAGAGAGAGAGAGAGAGAAGGGAGGATGGCTTGCCCATGTGCGATACTAAAACTTTAAGGGCCTGAATTCTGTTCAATTCAGAAAGAGTAAAACAAATGTTATAGCTGATAACACGACATAGCTAGGGAGGTACCAATATATATATATTAATCATAACTTATGAAAGTTGGCCTGAAGATATTAAATACCAGAGAATTAGAAACACACAAACCTGCCTACGTATATAAAATTAATGTAAAAAATACACACAATGACCTACAGGTTTTCAGACATGTATATTTTGAGTTTGGGCAATTTGCAAACCCATCACACAATGCTCTCTGATCTGACAAACTCGTAGACTGCTTTAATTTACTTGGTGTACGATTGTCCAATTAATTTAATTTGTAGCCTTTGTTTACACATGTATGCCTGTTGGCTCTTAGCAGTTGCATTTTAAAGAGTGTGGAGCAAGAAATGTAACACTCGAGACCACTTTCAAATGATGATGACGCATGCAGAGAAAAGCGATGGATTCACTGTTTCAAACTTTTCCTTCCTTCTGCATTAAGAGCTTCAGAACAGCATTTCTGTACTGTGGAGACATCAGACATGCCCTTCCTCCCACGGTAGACGAGTACTGGCAGCCAGCGGTACAAAAATAATATTAATTAATCGTTTCATCTATATTAAATATCACGCAACTATTTAATTACTTGTATGAACATGTTATGATCCAAAATCTCTTATTGGGGAGTTTTTTTCTCAAACTTAATATATTTTTAAAACTTTATTTCTAAAAGCACTCCTTTTCTTTTTTCCATGTATAATTAAGGCTATTCGACCTATTTTGACTTTTTAGAACAATTAGAATGAGACGTTAATTTTAATATATGCTTTTATTTTGCATCGATATAATTATATATACTCAAATACTCAACATATTTTATTTAACTAGAAAGCCCAAAAAATAATTAAGTTTCGCATTTTTTGGGGGGCTAATGTTAAATTCTAAGAAAAATTACAATCTGGGTACCCCAATTCTTTTCTGTTATCGGAAATTATCCATAAAAAAACTCTAGATAATTTCCCCGACCCGACCCCAATATCTGAACTAAATAGATTATGAACCTGAATTCAATAATAATGGAAATCGAAGAATTGGAATAATGTTCACCCCTACAAGGCTACAAGCATACACCTAGCAGCTAGTTTCAAGTGGATTGAGGGTGTTTGTCCAATAAATTGGAATCTCAAGTAGATATAGCATTGAAAAGGGCATTGATTTCATGGATTCGGCTAATTTTCTTTTCATAATTATTTGTGATCTCCTGTTAATATCGCTCAATACTGCACCTGAATCAGCTCTGTCATAAGTAACCTAAACAAATCTTTTCCGGAACATTCAATGAAATTGGTTTCTCTAATCAATAAATTGGCCAGTCCCTTTTCCGTACTCTTTCTGTTGAAACATTAAAAAATATAAAAATAAAAAAGAGAGAGAGAGAGAGAAGAAAGAAATTAAAACATATGGCTTCATGAGATAGCTTTTTGTGGAGAGCATATATAGCCAAGAAATTAACAAAAAAACGCATGAAAATTTGCGTTTGTTGATTGAATTCTACCTGCCTTTTCCTTGCCTCGATTTTCATTTATTGGATTATGAGACTGTATAGCTGTAATGAGTACTAATGTTATCGAATGTATAAACAGTTTCACCATGTAATTGCTCCCTTTTAGTGGACCACATAACCAACTGATTAATAATGTTAATCTTTCTGATTAATTAGCAGAACTGGTTTAGTAAATCTTTGAGGTGTTACTTTATATAATAAATGGGTTTGTTTTCCAAACATTATACAATCTTGTCTATATTCGAAATAAATCTAATAACATGTTAATTACAGTATTAATTGATAAAATAATAAAATTATTTTTTAATGCATTAGTCCGAGGATAAATAGCTTTTCTAAAATAAATAAATAAAATTAATTTTTTAATGCATTAGTCAGATGGATTATATGTCACATTTTTAATAAAACATACTTTATACCAATAGCACATTCTATATATAAAAGAATTCTTACCGAACGTATATCAAAACTAAAAACTAAAATATAATTAATTACGTCAATAAGATTATAAAATGAAAAGATGTCATCAATAAATAAGACAACGTGTCTTGTTTGTGAACCAACTCTTTGTTACTAAATAATAATAATAATAAGTTAGCTATAATTAGATTAAATTTCAATTATAACTACTAGTTTTTAACTCAGCAAAAAGTTACCGATAGCAACGAGGGTACTGTAAGGAGGCAGGTGTGATGGAAGCAGAAGATGATCCCTGCAAACCCCATAAACCCTTCAACCGGCTGGGACCATTCAATACCTTTCCTTTTTGTACTGTTTCAGTTCCCTAGGTGGGACCCCATTAAGACAACCCATTGGCCAATCCAACAACCACCGGAATATTCTGTGACCGACCACCGGTGGCTGCCTCCTAAGCCGCCATCACAATTTTCAACATCGTCCCATTAGTGCTTTCTAGCACTGTCACAACTGGGGAGGCTAACTTAAAATACACTCAAACTACAAAAAGAAAGAAATAATTTTACTACAAGTAATTGATTGATGGACCACAACTACACAAATTGATGAGATTTCATCACCTTTTCTTTAATGCAAGATGATGGATTTATTTGACCATTTATGCATTTCAATTGGTTATGTATATCTGAATGATAACAAGCCAAATAATACAATTTTAATGATTTTTTTTTCTTTTCCTTACAAAACATCCTCTTTCACCTTTTGCTTTTTGCATCTTAAATTTTTTAGTTGATAACATGTGCCTTTTGGCTTTCAATCTCTAGCTTTGATCATAAGGAAAATTCAATCAATCTTTCAAGATAATGTTAAATATTTATCATACGAAAATGCCTAAAATTTACTAATTAATTAGTTATCCTGCACTAGAAAGAAAAAAAAAAAACTATATCTGTATTTTAAATTACAACTGGCTTTCTAATACTCAGTTGTTAGTGATTTTATATTTTGTGTTTTGGTTCAAAACACAACTACTAAGAAGAAAGTCCCCGAAGTCTCACCGCCCAACCCAATTCTTTGTCGGGACGCTAACTTGCGCTTTAAAAAATGATACATATTCCATCGTGCAAATCAGCAGGGCAACGGGGGGTCGTAGTTGTGAACTTGTGATCTAATTAGTAGGGGTGGTGCAGGATAGCAAGGATTATTATTATTATTATTATTATTTTCGAATATTCTTTGCTAGCCCATAATGGTTTTGTATGTATCCAATGTATGTGTTATAATGTTTTTGTAGTAGTCATAATTAGCCGTAGAGATCCATGATAAAAAAAATTGCCACTAAAGTCTAGGCCGACAGTGGTATTGTGAGCCTTGATAGGGACATGAGATTTTATGTGCCTTGTGGCTTGGATGGTGACCTTCTCGTGAGCTATTCAAGCAATAACAATATTGGCTGCATTAATTGATTACCGATTAGAGAGGAATATTGTTGATGCTATCATGCTAATCCATGCTTGCTTTGCTTAAATATGACATTCGAATGTGGGTTAAGAAAAAAAAATTATTATCTTCTAACATTAATCCGATATATTTAGTAAATCATCTTAATTGTCAACGAGCAAATATATGATTTGACTCAAAACTTCTAATTAAGGAAAAATAAAATCACAAAACCTGTTTTTCTATGGTATGTTTTGTAAAAATAATTGTATATCCCAAACTAAGATTAGTTCTTAGTTGTTTAACCAAGTAATTATAGCTAATAAATTTATAATTTAATTGATGTTTATCTTTCTACTCCATATTTGGATTTAGAACTAGTTCATAAAGTAATTGAAAATAATCGTTTTTCATGTTAATTTAGGGGAAAAAAAAGCACTTCCTGCTATATTTAAGAATTTTCATTTTCATGTTTGAACTTTTTTTAATAGAAAAAAAATATCATTATAGATCGTAAAATAAAAGTGAATTTTATAAAAATCGATATGTATATTATACATATTTTGTTAAGTGAAATAGAATCCAGATATATTATGAGTAGAATCTTTGGCATTTAACTTGTTCAATGCAAAAAAAACATATTTAACAAATATCTAACCAATATAAAATATAATTAATATGGAAACAAGAATCATATTCAATATTTATGACGTTTGATAATAAATGCAAGATTTTTTTCTATAATTTTATTTTATTCATTAAATAAATTGTTTTACAAACCCAAACTTAATTTAATGCGATAAATAAATGTTTTTTTTAAATTAATGGAAAAATTATGCATAAAAGGAATCTTGGATACGAAGTACCAAAAAAACATAACTCAACCACAAAATAAAAGATAATAACAAGAAGGAAAAAAAGAAAGAAAGAAAGAAAGAAAGATTGCTTGTGGTTTTCTAAAACATTCCTCTCTATTATTTGTGAAAAAACCTTTTATAAGTTTTGAAGTTACGAGAATTGCAAAATCTAAAAACTTAAAACTTATTATTTTCTTATCTTTTTTTTTCTTAGTAAAGAATATCCACAAACTAAACACCAAACAATTGTAAAAAAAAAAATTATATGAATTTTATACCACTTATAGTGAATCTTTATATATATATATATATATATATATATATATATATATATATATATATATATATAGAAGTAAATAAAAATTAAATTGTATATTGCAAGTAAAGTTTCGGGAAAAAAATGCAAATAATATATTATTTCTACATCGAATCATCGTTGGTTAACATAATTCTTGCATATTCTATTATTGTCACCCAAAATCCAAAGCGAATAAATACTAATCATCACAATTAAATACATTATTTAACCATCATTTTTATACTCCCACAGTCCAACTAATCTCAATTAAGAGAACAACACGAAATATTGTCTATCTCGCGAGACATTAAACGGAATCCACGGGAAGATAAACTATCATGACAGGCTATAACCGGTAAAAAACGAAAACCATAAAAGACATGATTTAAACAGCCACGTTGGTCCCTATACTTATTCAATTTCTTAAGAATGATCTTATATTTTATTTTTATCAATCCGATCCCTTGTATGCAATGTTTTGCTAAATGACATTTGGTATACAAGTTTATACTTAAGAGAAAAGCAAAACATCCTAATTCACATTCACTTATACTAATATTTGTTAAAGACATAAAGTATAACAAAAATATTTTTTAATCACAATTTAATTTATATGTCACTTGTTATAGAATACTCTTGTATTGTCAAGCATTGTCAATTTTAATTTTGTCAAATTCATTTTTAACAACATAAATCTTCAAATATAAACTTTTGAGTATATGTCAAATAAATTCTAATAAATGTATAGATAATATGGAACGATTTTTAAATGAAGTAAGATTTAAGGGTTTGGTTAGTAGTTTACATACACATGATCAGAAAATAGATTCTTGCATATTATAAGTGAGATTTAAACTATAATCTGATAAATTATTATTTCATTTCTCAATCAATAAACTATACTTAAGAGTTAATTTTAGTTTAAACATATATTTATTAAAAAAGTTTTTCAATCTAAATCCTTACTAAACGATGGTTTTCATTAGCAATGTAACGGTGGATAAAAAAACATGTGTCAACCTTTTCTAAGTACAAGACCAATTTGATGACGGCACATCGCTTGTTCAAGAACCACATTGGTAAAAGTATCAGTGTTTAGTCTAGAATAAACAATTAAGAGAATTCATGGACCTATTAATGGGTTGGTAAAGAATATCATGTTCCATCAAAACAAGATCCAAATGGGACCGGTGACCGGGAAACAAGAAGACAAAGATATTAAACAGTCTTAAATGCTTAAAGATCTCAGTGTTTCCCTTCAATCTTGGACTATTATCAAGGCCCCATGGTTCTTGTCCAAAATATATAGATGCACCTATATATACAAGAAAAATAAAGAAGAAAAAGAGAGACAAAACTGAAAGCCAACCTTGTTAGTCTGTTATCTCTCACATATATATAAACATAAAAACACTCTCTTTCACCGACCATTGCCCCCTCAACACTTTGTGTTTTCATATAGAGATATATATTTTTTCTCTCTTACAACATAAAAGGCTTTGGTTCTTTGCCTGTCTTTGACAGACATTTTTAAGTTGCAAGCAAGCTTAAAGCTTTATCTGATGGTGGTTTTAGCATTTGGTGCTTTAGTACTGTGACTGAGTTGAGAGATAGTTGACTAGGGTTGAATAGTTTAATGGCGTATTTGTGAAGTTTGAATTGGCTAGTGAAATATTTGGTGGTGAAAGAAAAATGGGTTTGCTGTTAAAAGAGAAACTGAAGAGTCTTTGTTGCAGTAATGGATGGTCTTATGGGGTTTTTTGGTGCTTTGATCAGAGAAATTCCATGTAAGTTTGCCTTGTTTTGCACTTATTTTCTATCTCTCTCTCTTTTCCTCAAAGAAAAATGTTTGCATGGTTTAAAGTGTTGGTTTTCTTCAAAGTGTTGATCTTTCTTTTAAGTTGGTTTTTTTTTTTTTTTTTTCTAATATAGTTTTATGTGCAGTAATAGTTGATTCATCATATCTAAATTTAATGTTTACAATCTTTCAATAATTCTTTTTTAAGAGGAGATATGATTTTTTTTTCTTTTTTTCTTTTTACTGTCTAAATTTGTATGCTTGAAGCAGTAGAGGAAAGAAAATGGCTTTATTGTTGCAGCATTTTAGCATAATATGTTTCTTCTATAGTAAGGAAATTCTCTCGAGATGGACCAGATTTAGTAAAGTTTTTACCTTTATTATCTTGCCTGTTTCTTGAAGCAGCTAATGGTTTGAATCCTGCCATAGATTTGTTTGATAATGATATTTTGCTTACAGCAAAAATCTGTTGTTTGAGATGTGACCAGGTTGTTGACCATGGAAGATGCCTACTATGAAGAGGAAATGGGTGCCGTAGTTAACAATATGCTTTCGGAGGCCCACATGCTAGGTGAAGGGTAAGCTCTATGTGATATTTTGTTTCAGAAACACTGTGATTTTCACTCAATTTTTCTTTGTGAATTTCCAGAATACAACCTTTTGACCATTATTTTTTCAATTATTTATATACCAAGCATTAGAGGGAACTTTGATAGGGCTAATGCTGTTGTCATGGTCTCATTCAGAATTGTTGGCCAAGCTGCTTCCACTGGAAAACACCAATGGATTTTCTCAGATGCTAGTGGAGGAGGCTGGAATTCTGCTGCTTCTATTGGAGGTCAAGACATATTCCAGGTACCTCTCCCTTTGCTTCTTCTTTAGAATTAACTACTGTGCTTGTTGTTATTGAACTAATTGTTTTTGTTTTTCTCTTTTCTTTTTGTTAAATTGCCCAAAATTGCTGAATGATAAAGTTCTGTTTGCCTGAATATTTCCTTCCCTTACAGGATGATTCTGAAATTCATCGCCAATTTTCTTCTGGAATAGAGGTACTGCATGTTGGAATGCAAATCTTTCCTTTTGTCACTCATTTTTTATGATATTCTTTTTTAAACTTTTCCAAGCTTTGTGGAGCTTCTTTCTTCCTCCAAGACCTTGGCCATTTGTATTGATTATTAATTGCCATTTGCAGACAATTGCAGTAATCTCCGTGGAATCGCGAGGAGTGGTACAATTTGGATCCACCCAGAAGGTGAGCGCATTGAAAACATATCAAATGAATTTAACTGTCCTGCAAAAATCTACTGGATTAATGTTTGTTGACTTCAATGTAATATTGCAGATTTTGGAGAGAGAGGAATTTTTGGATCAATCAAAAAGATTGTTTGCTGAGATGGAAAATGTTGATGGGCTTACTTCGAAGGCCAACTCGCCTTTATCTTTGAACTGTGAAAGTTATGATCTAAATGAGTGGTTTGATTCCTTCTGCAATGGGAATATCACGCCCATGCTTGGTGGCAACTGCAATGAGCTGATGGAAATAGCTTGTTCTTCGATGAATTTTACTCAGTCCTCAGCTTTCATATCAGATGTTGAACAAGATAGGATTAGCCCTTTATGCCTGGATTCATCTCATCCTACTAACCAATTGAAGACAGATGTCACCACTGAAGCTCAAATGATATTGTCTAGTAATCCTAGCACTCAGTTCCAACAGACACAATCTCCTTCATCCATGAACAAAACAACTGCCCAAACTCCTTGTACTAGTACATGGAGCAATGGGGGCTCTAATTTGACTCCATGTGAGTCAAAGTTCCGATCTGAAATGTTGGTCCAGGACTCTCTAACTGTGTTGTCTACTGAAAGATCAAAGAGCAACCAGCATTCAGCTCCATCAATTCACGTTACTGAAGAACTTCTTTCAGAAAGAGAAACGAACCTAAACAGATTCCCTTTAGAGTTCAACTCATATGGTTTTACGACAGATCTGCCCAAACCTTGTGTAATAGATAACATTCTCGAGTGGTTTGCCCCTTCACCAGAGCATAGCATCAGTGGAACTGCAGCCATGATGGATGGGAATCTTTCACAATCTGAAGGGGTCACTTCAACATCATCAGGTCTGATTAGGGATCTCTTAGTTGACATTCCATTCAAACAACCGGCTACTTCACTTCAAAGTTCTGTCACTGAAACATATTTTTCCAGTGGAAAAGAGAAGTCTGTGAGCGTCATCGGTGCTGAAAATGATCTGTTTGAAGGTTTGGGATTAGTATTTGAGAGTGGACAAGCTGGGAATTGCTGGGAAGATATGATGATGCCAGCAGCGAGTGGTTGTCACATAACTGCCAGCACTGGTGTTTCAGAATGCATCTCAGAGTTGGATGTTGGTTCCAAGGTTGGCCCTCGAAAAGGATTGTTCTCAGAATTAGGACTCGAAGAGCTTTTAGATAGTGTTAGTAATTCTAATCATGTTAAAAAGTCTTGCATTGATGATCAATTATCAAATGCTAAGAGAAGAAGAGAGGAAAATTCATCAGTCAGTAGCAATCAACTTCAGTTAATGAATGATTCTTGCCCTACCAGCAGCAGGATGATGCAGCCTGCATATAATTTGGACAAGACAAAAAATCTTTCGTCAAAACAAGAGGTGTTCCCAAGATCGCAAGTAAGCTTGTGGATTGATGATAGCTATAGCGTCAATACTGGAAGTTCTGGTTTAAGGAAACCTAAGAAACCTGAGGAACCTGCAAAGCCCACCAAGAAAAGAGCCAGACCTGGGGAAAGTACTCGACCTAGGCCAAAAGACCGTCAGCAGATACAAGACCGTATCAAAGAGTTGAAACAGATCATTCCTGATGGTGCAAAGGTATGCAGTCTTATGTTTTGCTTTAAATGAAATAATCCTATGTATATGTTAAAATATTAGATATCTCATATGACTTTCTGCCATATAGTGATACCAAATACAGCATAAACACTCTTGGTTATATCAGCACTCTTAAGAATATAGATCATTGATGTATGTTTCCTTTGATGATGTAACAGTGTAGCATTGATGCTCTGTTGGATCGCACCATCAAACACATGTTATTCTTGCAAAGTGTGACCAAATATGCAGAAAAACTTAAACAAGCTGACGAGCCAAAGGTAACTAGTTTGTTTGCTTAATTTGGTTGCATGCTGACAAGTGAACAACCATCCATTGGCAAATATCGTTTGCTCATACAAATAAAATTGCATTTGTATAGTTGATCGGCCAAGAGAATAGACTGCTTCTTAAAGATAACAGCACAAGCAGTGGTGGTGCTACATGGGCATTGGAAGTTGCAGATCAATCAATGGTTTGCCCAATCATAGTTGAGGACCTCAGTCAACCTGGCCTAATGCTTATAGAGGTATGTGAGAGGAAGAGAAAATGTTTTCTGATAATTTGTCAACCATATCTGAATCCACCAAACGTGTTTCTTCTTTTTCTGTTATAGATGCTTTGTGAGGATCGGGGATTCTTTCTTGAGATAGCAGACGTAATTAAGGGCTTTGGTTTGAATATATTGAAGGGGATGATGGAAAGTCGAGAGGATAAGATCTGGGCGCGTTTCATTGTTGAGGTATGCACATCAAATTAGGTTTTTAAACAATGGATTTAGGCAACATGAATTTTTTGAGAGAAATGATGTTAAAATTTGTTACAGGCAAATGTCCACACAACAAGGGTGGAAGTATTTTGGTCCCTTCTCCAGCTTTTAGAACGAACAGGTACTAGTGTGATGGATTCAACAAGTCAGCCTAGTAAGTCCATGCATGGGAGGATTCCTGAGTTAAACAGTTACCAACTTCCTGCATTGCCATGTCCCATCACCCTGACTGAGACTATTCAATGATAGAGCTCTTTCTTAGGGATTCTAGAACACTTTGAGCACCCCTCATTTCTTGGGATATTGCTGTGATTGGTGTTCTGAGTTCAAGAACCAATACTGAAGTGGGAAAGAAGATTTTCCGTTCCATTTTGATTCCCCTGGAAATGGAAGCGAAATGTGAACATGGTTGATAGATAGGAAATACTTCCAAAGGAAAGGCTAGGTTTCTAGTTACTCGTCTATGGTACAGTTGGAGAGGGATGTGCCATTGGATGTTAACTTGTTTATAGTCAGTCGATTTATGCCACATTGCACAGGATTGAAAGAGTGTAGGGCACTCACTGTATTTGTTGTGTTTTTGCTTTCTTAGGTTCTGCTACCATAACCTGTTTATATTCTGAAGTTGACAAACCAGTTTAGTTTTAGGCTAACCACTTATTTGTTCTTTGTATCTTTTGTTGTTTCATTAGTATAATGAAAGAAATTTGCTCTCTCTCTCTCTCTCTCTCACACACACACACACATGATGGAATATGACTGCATGGAAATATTATTTAGTCATTTAGTCATATGGGAATAGCTTTCAGATTCTATAGATTAACTAACATGCAAAATAGGATTCTGAAAATTCATTACGGTAAACCCATAAAGGGCATGGAAAAATAATAAGCTGAAAGACAAGGGAATGCCCATATTACTGGGATTCTTCTCACAAACATCTCGAGGGAAATGGGTATTCTTTTATGATTTCATTTGCTCGATCTGATTCTGAACTTAAGCTATGAAACAGCTATTAAAAGTTTTAACTTCTAGGCTAATTGAACTATCAAGTAAACTGGTTCTAAGCCCCCAAAATCACCTCGGATGGTTTTAAATCTGTTTCAGGCAGAGTCGTCGCAGTAAGGCCTGGTTAACCTGTATGTTATCACTTTGCAGGCAAGATTACACATGTTTCCCTGTGAGGTGAAGTTCCTATTCCGCACAGAATTTCCTCTGCTCCCATGGATTCTAGGTGCCTATCATATTAGTGCACTGCTCTCAACATCAATACCATATCATCATCCTCACGATCCCTATTTTATAAACCTGCATGCCTTCGGTGTCCTCATAGTTTAACATAAACTGTTATACATGAACTAATCACCACGCACTAAAAGATTCAATGCTGATATTGTAACTACGTTAGGTAGGTATTCTTGTCCATAACTAAATCAGAAAGGAACATAGGAAATTCCCAACCGTGGGTAGGAATTTTCATGAGGGATCTGATATGCCACGTCAAAGGACATGCCATCTTGGTGCTTCCTCCACCAGAACTTAAATGTGGAGTTAAGTATGCCTCAACATTTTTTGCTGCCATACATCAGAAAATATTAAAAAAACTTCTAGCTAATCCAAGCTGTGGAAAGACATGCACAATGTTTGCTAACGCAAATGTTAAGCCATAAACTATATCGATAAGCCATTACAAAATCTAATGCTATTGTTGTTAGCACTATATAATTAAGCACAAGAAAAATTTGGCAGAGTGTGGAATGAGAAGCAACTTTTGATAGCTGATTGTGCTTTTCAAATCAGTGTACTTGTGGGCTGGGAAAGCTCCTAGCATTAGGAGATAAGTGCTCCTTCCATTCAAGTGGCCAATTAAAACCCTTGTTTAAAGCCTTAAACAGTGATTTACAAGTTTTATAAACAGGGAAAACCTGAATAGTCGTAGTCATGACCTAATTTGGAGGACTAGCATATACCGAGATATGATGATGCAGTATTATAACAAATGATAACAGCTGCAGCCTAGTTGCAGTTTCAAAGGGCATGTCAAGACCACTTACTGTGCTTGTCCTATTCCACATTACAAATTATATGATATAGTAGAGTTTCTAGATTCATATTGGACTCTCCACCTTAGCTGAAAGCCACTAAAAGAAGTTTCAAGGCAAGCTCAAAAGATAGATTTACGACTCTCTTTCCTACGCACGCATGCGTGCCCTATTGTATGTGCCCATGGTTTCACCATAGTATTCAGGTGGTAGGAGATAGAGAAGCTGTAATATTCTCCGGTTTATCAGAAACGAAAAAAATCGAGCTATGCGTTCTCTGTAGAAAGACTGCCTATGGCATACATGAGAGAAGACTTTTAATAAAATGGTCAGATGATTATACCTACTTTTTCCATGGAATCTAGCTATCTAGTTGAAAATTATAAGCAAACCGGTCATGTAGAGAGGAACAGAGATAAATTTGCTGTTTCTTTCGGAAAAGCAGAAGCACTTACAAGTCATTCTCCCCTCAGTACTAATTTAGTATAGAAATGGATAAAACAAGTGAAACATTGAGACTCAAGCGCACTAAACAGAAACAAGTTGATCACATTGAGACTCAAGCGCACTAAACAGAAACAAGTTGATTACACTACTATTCTGGCCTTGAAATACCATGCAGATTGTTGTCTAGCAATCTCGTGTAAGATTAATACAACTATTCGTAATCGTCGGCAGTGATTTTTGACTCGACTAATGTGTTCTATTTTCAAAACAAATAACCATAATTTTCATGTTAATCTTACAAGAGTCCGTGCAAATATTGGCATAGAGCATTGGGCGTAGCCCTCCACAAAATAGGAAAGGAAACTACTATAGGACCACGAAAAGGCATGGGTATGTAAAAGTTCAGTAGCATAGGACCACAATAGCAATTGCTAAATCGGGATAGTCTCAGAATCCACATCAGAAATATCTGAATATAAAAAAATGATTTATCTTAAGGTGGTGCTGAGTCCTAATTTTCTTATCTGTAGGAAACAGATCAGAGAGGAGTGGTGATCAAAGATCCACTTAGAAGAAACCTTGAACTGTAGAACTGTTGCAGACCCCTCTGTGGGCAAACAATGCACTAGAAGACAGAAGCACGCACATAGAGAGAAATTAATATGAAAGAGTACCCATCTTATTGATATTATCTATTTTATTTTATTGCTACTTTTATTACTATTAGTTAAAAATAAGTCACGACTAGCTAATTAGAAAATCAGGATATGAGAGTTCTAATTGTTTGGTGTTCTAATTAGATTTTTTATGTGTTAGGGAGGTAAATTAGGCAATAACCTTTTGTGTTTGTATTAGTCCTAATCGTTTGATGTTTTAATTAGATTTTCCATGTGTTAGGAAGTCAGATTAGACAATAGTTTTTTATGCTTGTATTCTGTTTTTAAGACTTCGATCTATTATAGGAGATGAAAATTGAATAAAATATTGAGACAATTATATTCATAAGGCTAAAAAGAGTTGAAAGGTCTCTTAGGGACAATCCTCTATTGTTATTGTCAAAATAAGTTTCTCTAGGAAAGGTAGGAACTAGAGAAAAGGAACAAGAGAGGATTTCCATGTACACCAACCTATGACGGGATCCTTGTCTCGAGACTCTAACAGATTGGTATAGATTTTGTCATCATTGGTAATTACGAATGTCACACAGTGATCTCTCAACGATCGCAAAATAAAATATATAAATATGGAGTCACCACTCAATTTTTAAAAATTTGAAAATTAAGAAAAACTTAGTATTAGTCTTAAGAGTTCTAAGTATGGAGATTGATTACTTAACCGGTGAATACTATAGTCATCCTAGTGTGTCCTCGCAATGAGATTATCTTGTATTTTTAGTTTAGGAAAATTTGTTCATGCAAATTACATATATATCTTGATTTGCATGTTTGATTATTTAGGTATTTTCCGACCAGTCCTAAAAAGAAAACTCAATCTCTCACCCTAATATGTCATTATATTGTTAGAGCCCATTTGGAAGGGCAACAATTAAGACTTAAAAGCCATTGCAAATTAAACTCTAACCCCACACAAAAACATAAAAATAAAAATAAAATGAACATAGACCATAGGTCTAAGTTCAATTGCAAAACCATGAAATAAAAATGATTACAAATCCCTTAATAATCTAAAAATGGACATCGGGTTTGAGCCCATATCATCATGTCATGCCACTTTAAAATATTAAATTAGGTCTAAAACTCAAATTTAGAGTTAAATCTATGAGAATAAGAAATTAATAGCACCAAAAAATTAAATTAAAATTAACTCAAACCATATAAACAATAACAATAAAACTAAACTAAACTAAATAATAAGAAAAAAAAAACCCTATAATTGGAACAAAGTCAATCTCGAGTCTTAAACCTACTCCATCTAAATTGACTAGATTGACATCACAAAATAAATACACAAAGTGAAAGATATAAAATTAAACATGTAAAAAATTACGAATCACATGAAAATAACTTAATGGAATAAAATAGCCAACAAGCCTTTACAAGGTCCTTGGCCTATTTATTCATGTTGGCTTATTTTTTAAAAACAAAATGGTTAGCCTATTGTTAGCTTTATCATCGATCGACAGTTTCTCACGAATTTTTTTTTATAGAAAATAAAAATATTATATATTAAGTCATTACCTTTAACCTATATATATATATATATAAACCCCGAAAATAAATATTCTTTATCTCAATAAAATCATTTTTTTTTATCACACATACATAACATAGAGTTTAAATTTGAATTCTTTTAAATTTGTCAAATAATATCAAGAACTCAAAATTTAAATCCTTTCAATTAGGCCCAAATTAAATGATTTTAATTCAATTAATCATCATAATCTTATGTTCATTACATAATTAATATTATAATCATCCAAAACATAAAATTTGAATGAAAATTAAACCAAAAAATTATTGAAACGCATGGGTCTAATTATAAAATTCAAAAGCTTGAGGAATGAAATGGATGAAAGTTCACCAAAAATGACAAGACTTTAAACGACACGTTTGGGGTCCATAGAGATTGGAATTGGATGATTCTTAAGGTGCTAGAACCATCTTCTCCGGACAATTCCGGAGAGCTAACGTGTGCTTGGTCAGCAAAAGACAAGTGGCAAGCGATGGTTGGATTTTTATGACTATTGTTTTGTCTCCTTTTTTGGTCGCTGTAGGTTTTTCTCTCTAGATGGCAATGTGTCTATGAGTGTGGCTAGGTTAAGATCTATTTATAATGCAACATATGTCAATTTTAGGGTAAAATTTTCCTTCCGAATGGTAATTAGGCTGGACAACCTAGCAAGCTCAGGCATGCCTATGCCCAGTGTGTAGCCTAACACACGTCCGAGATGTCCAAGCCTTTTT